CCAAAACAGCAAAAAAAAAAAAAAAAATGCTTTTAAATTTTATAAAAGGCCCCAATAAATTTTTAAAAAAAAAAAAAGTAAAAAAAAAAAAAAAAAAAAAAAAAAAAAAAAAAACAAACAAACAAACAAAAAAAAACATGAACAAAAAGTTCTTTTAACCAAGTACATTTAATTATAAGTACCCCGACCTCTTCTGAGATTCAGAATCCCCCTCTGGGGAGCCACATGATTGGTTGATAAAAAAGGCCAAAACGGAATGAAAGAATTTATTATTTGAACAAGGCCATGTTTAAGAATATTCCTGATTTGAACCAGTTTGAAATACGGGCAAGGTTCCTGTCTACTCAAAAAATCCCAGGTAGGTCAAAGTTTTGGTTATTAATAATCTTCTTTAATTGTCAGTACTTATAGACCAGATGAAACATTTATATAAATATAATAATTGGTACCTTTGGTTACTTTCTTCCCAATATTTCTCAGAGGAATTAAAAAAAAAAAGAGAAATAAAAATTTGGGTCCATCTTTAGCATGTTGCTATAGGCTAATGTCTCCTAAATGTAGGCCAATGATTTTCAAACACACTCATCTTGTATGTATCACAGCAAACTTCCACAGAGGCACACATATTCTTAGCAGATTAATTAAAACTATGTTATGTTCAGTGNGAGGAATTAAAAAAAAAAGAGAAATAAAAATTTGGGTCCATCTTTAGCACATTGCTATAGGCTAATGTCTCCTAAATGTAGGCCAATGATTTTCAAACACACTCATCTTGTATGTATCACAGCAAACTTCCACAGAGGCACACATTTTCTTAGTAGATTAATTAAAACTATGTTATGTTCAGTGCCCTTTGAATAATTAAGCCTTTACATCACACTTAAATGTATCCCCCATCTCACCTATTGTGCTGACTGCATTATTTTAATACACTGTATAATAGTTCAGGGGGGGGGGGGGCAGAAGCTGGAAGGGGGGTATTCTAGTCTCCATTCTTTTTCCATACATTACCATGGAAACAGCTTATATTTTTTAGTTTTAAAACTGATACTCATGACTAAAATGTGTGAAAGCTTATTCTGAGAGGTTTTTCTTTTTCTTTTTACCCATTACTCGTTTTTTTCAACCCATATTGATCAAGGCTATGAATAATATCCGGAAGCTATCAGAACAAGCTTTCACAATTTTTGGTCATCAGTATCACTACTGGATATGAAATATGTGATGACAATGAAAGGTAAGATTTCACAGGCATTTAAAACTATGGAACTGTTCAGAATGAGTTATGTCAATTTAGCTAGTGTTCTTGCTGAATCTGATCAGATTAACAGACTGACATTCCTCCACTTGTGTCCAATGTACTCTGAGACTCATAATCAACAGCTTCTTTGTATTAACACCAGGAGGAGGAGGGGTGTTTGTCTGTTATTTGATTGCATTCAGCAAGAGTCCCCATGAAGTTAGTGTGCATTGGCTAGGTCAACATATAGATAAACTATTACACTACAGGGGTTTTTACTTGCTTTCACAGCTTCACTTCCTTATGTTTGGGCAGACGTTGATTTTA